TGTTCAGGAACCAAAAATGGAAATAGAAGCAATAAAGAAAACACAAACTGGAATTCTGGAGATGGAAAGTCTGGGTAAGTGAACAAGAACTACGGATGCAAGCATCCCCAACAGAATACAAGAGAACGGAAAAGAGAATCTCAGGCATTGAAGACACAATAGAAGAAAAACCCCAACATGATCATCTCATTAAATGCTGAAAAATCCTTTGACAAAATTCAAAACACCTTCATGATAAAGGTCTTGGAGAGATCAGGGATACAAGGGACAGACAGAAACGTAATAAAAGCAATATATAGCAATCCAACAGACAGCAAAGCAATTCCACTAAAATGAAGAACAAGACAAGGTTGTCTACTCTCTTAGTATCTATTCAATATAGTACTCAAAGTTTTAGCTACAGCAATAAGACAGCAAAAGGAGATCAAGGGGATAAAATTAGAAAAGAAGAAGTCAAAGTATCTTTTCTTGCAGATGATATGATAGTATACATAAGTAACCCTAAAAATACCACTGGGTAACTCCTAAAGCTGATAAACACTTTCAGTAAAGTAGCTGGATATAAAATTAACTCACAAAAATCAGTAGCCCTTTTACAGAAAAACAATAAAGGGGATGAGAAAGAAATCAGGCAAACAACATCCTTCATAATAGGCACAAATAATATAAAATATCTTGGGGTAACTCTAACCAAGCAAGTGAAAGACCTGTATGACAAGAACTTTAAGAGAAGATATAAGAAGATGGAAAGACCTCCCAAGTCCATGGATAACTGAGATTAACATAGTAAAAATGGCCATCCTACCAAAAGGAATATGCAGATTCAATGCAATTTCCATCAAAATCCCAACACAATTCTTTACAGAACTTGAAAGGACAATTCTCAGCTTCATATGGAAAAGGAAAAAAAAACAGGATAACTAAAACTTGTATAGTAAAAGAGCTTCCAGAGGTACCACCATCCCTGTTTTCAAGCTCTACTACAGAGTTTATAGCAATAAAAATAACATGGTATTGACATTAAGAAAGGCAGGTCGATCAATGAAATTGAAACCAAAACCCAGACATAAATCCATACACCTATGGACACCTGATTTTCAACAGAGAAGCTAAAATTATACAATGGAAAAAGAAAGCATTTTTAACCGATGGTGCTGGTCTAACTGGATGTTGGCATGTAGAAGAATGCAAATGCATCCATATCTGTCACCCTGCACAAAACTCAAGTCCAAGTGGATCAAAGATCTCAATATAAATCCAGATACACTGAAACTGATAGAAGAGAAAGTAAGAAATTGCTTTAAGTGCACTGGCATAGGAGACAACTTCCTGAACATCAACAGCATGGATAGGAAGCTAGATGATTAATAAATGGGACCTTAAGAAACTGAAAATCCTCTGAAAGGCAAAGGACACACAAAATATCATGTTCCAGAATGGGAAACGATCTTCATCAACTCTACATCTAACAGAGGGCTGATTTCCAAAATATATAAAGAACTCAAGAAACTAGACAACAAACCAAATAATCCAATTAATAATAGAGTATAGATCTAAACAGAATTCTCAGCAGTAGAATCCCAAATGACTAAGAAACACTTAAGATGTTCAACATTCTTAGCCATCAGTGAAATAAATGCAAATCAAAATGACTCAGATTCTATCTTAGACCTGTCAGAATGGCTAATATTAAAAACACAAGTGACAGCTCATGGTGGAGAAGATGTGGTGGGAAAGCAAACTTGTACAGCCACTTTGGAAATCAGTATGGCGGTTTCTCAGAAAACTGGAAATTGAGCTACCTTAGGACCCAGCTATACAACTTTTGGGCATATACTCAAATGATGCTCAATCATACCACAAGGATACTTGCTCAGCTATGTTCATAGTAGCGTTATTTATAATAGCCAGAACCTGGAAACCACCTAGATGTCCCTCAACCAAAGAATGTGTAAAGAAAATGTGGTACATTTACAAAATGGAGTACTACCCAGCTGCTAAAATCAATGACAGGAACTAGGAAAAAATCATCCTGAGTGACGCCCAGAAAGACAAACATGGTATGTACTCACTCATAAGTGGCCACTAGCTGTAAAAGATAACCATGCCACAATCCACACCCAGAGACGCTAGGTAACAAGGAGGACCCAAGTGGGGACGCATGGACCTCCCTGGGAAGGGGAAATAGAAGAGATCTCGTGGATGGACTGGAGGCTGGTAGGGATGAGAACATGAGGGATCAAGTTGGGGTGAGGTGGGGGAGAGTACTGAAAAAGAGAGGACTAGAAAGGGGATAATTTCGGAGTCAGGTAGAAGCTTGGTGCAGGGGAAATTCCCAGGACTCACCCCAGCTAAGGCCCCCAACAATAGGGAATACTTAACTGGAAATGGCCATCTCCTTTGCTCTGGCAAGACTACCAGGAATTGGGACACCGACCCAGACTCACAACCTTCAACCTACAGTCTGTTCTGCCTATGACCATATATATGCTAGGATAAGGGTGGCACAGAGATTGTGGAATGGCCAACCAATGACTAGTCCAGCCTGAGGCTCATGACACGAGAGTGAGCCCACCTCTGACACTGCCTGGGGCACCAGGACCCAGAGTCTGGATGGCCCAGAAATCTAGGGTAGAACCAAACACAACTGGAGAGAAAAAAATGTCAAAACAATGATATTTTGCTATATTCATAGGTTGGGGCCTAGCTTAACTGCCATCAGAGAGGCTTCATCCAACAACTAATGGAAGCAGATGCAAACCCACAACCATACTTTAGGTGGAGCTCAGGGAATTCTGCTGAAGAGAGGGAGGAAGGATTGTAGGAGCCAGAGAGGCAAGAAAACCACAAAAAAACCTATAGAGTCAACTAACCTGGGCTCATAGGAGCTCACACAGTCTGAACCAACAACCAGGGATCCTGCATGGGCCTGACATAGGTACTCTGCATATATGTGACAGCTGTGTAGTTTGGTCCTCCTTATGGAAGTCCTAACAGCAGGAACAGGGGCTGTCTCTGACTCTTTTGATGACTTTTTGGGAACCTATTCCTCATACTGAGTTGCCTTGTCCAACCTTAATACAGGAGAAGTGTTTAGTTCTGCCACAACTTGATATGCCATGTTTGCTTGATATCCATGGGAGGTCTGTCCTTTTCCAAACAGAAATGGAGGAGGAGTGGATGAAGGGGGCGAAGGGGAGGTGATAGGAGGAACTGGGAGGAGAGGAGGGAGGGGAAACTTTGGTCAGGATGTAAAATTAACCAATCAGTCAATCAATCAATCAATCAATCAATCAATCAATCAATATTAAAAATACAAATAAAATCAAGAAAAAGTTTTAAATTTTATAATTAAATGAAAATAAAAAAGATAAAAATAAATATAAAATGGTTAAATATGGGAGTAGAGGGGCGAAAAGAGTAAAAGCAAACGAGGGTAAAAGATGGGACAGAGAAATGAGGTAGTGAGTAGGTTAAACAAAGCTAAGGATGTTTGAAAAATATGAAAACCCACTTGTTAAAAATTAACACAATTTTTAAAAGAAACAATGGAATTCTCCTATATGGATAAACAATGTTTTTCCCAGGAGACAAGGCTCATTATTTAAAATTTTATTGCAAGGCATGAGCTACCTCCCTATGAATTACTGGTCAGGGAGCACCAGAGGTATCTAAAATAACACAAGCTATCACATTGCCCTTGGTTACCCACCATAACTACATGGTAAGACTCTATTCGGGAGAACACCAAAGACTTTGGCTGCATGACGCAGAGGATTAATTTCAGAGCAGCTGGGAAGCTTTCTCCTGCTGGTTACCTTTCAGAGTGTCATAAGATGCAGGTTGCTGGGGAAGGAAAGGCATCAATGATCTCATTCAGTGTTGGGTTCTGCAGGCTACAGTCTCATTCTGTGAGGCAAAATGTGCCCACAGACGCAGAAATGGCATGACTGTTATGGGGGTAACTATGATTTATGATTGAATTTGAGGCCCTCTCCAGAGGAAGTGGGGCTAGAGAGATGGCTCAGCGGTTAAGGAGCACTGCTTGCTCTTCCAACGTTCCTGAGTTCAATTCCCAGCAACCACATGGTGACTCACAACCACATGTAATGAGATCTGATGCCCTCTTGAGGAAGAGACCTGGTCAGTCGTCCTCATCAACTTAGACCATGAAACCCAATATGGACAAGTTCAACAGAACCACCATATTCGGGCTGCCTATGCATGCTTCAGCATTGCCAGGGCATAAATTTCATTTCTTCCCTTTTTTTTTTTTCATTTTCCACAGGAAGTAATTTCACACCTGTTACTGTAGCCTTCTCAAAAGCCCATAGGTTAGAAGGTCATAGGCCCTAGGGTATAACGGCTGCTATTGTTTTGCTAAATGATTTCTAAGATATGGTGTTAAATGAATCAAACATTTTATAAGATGACAAACATTATATGCTACTGTACATTTAAAATGATTGCTAAAGTCTGGGAATAATTAAACTACAGGGATATCCAGCCACAAAGAAGAGTTTTGACCTCCCCAAAGGCATGCATGGGAGACACTTGTGCTTTTGATTTTGTACTGGGTAGATATATAACATATAAAAATGAATAGAGCTTAAATTGGCAAATAATACAAATTTGAAACTAAAAAGCAAACAAACAGGCAGGTACCAGCAGGCACCGAAGAGACCTTTTCCAGCGCCAAGTCAGGTGTCTGTGTTGCTGGATTATCTAGAATATTTTATGTGCCTTCAGTTGCCTTCTTTCCAAATAGCTGCTCGCAATTTTGCCTGCTTTTTGAGCAGCATGACTCCTCCCTCCAGCCTCATATTTTTTTGTCTTTAATGTTCCACTCAGGAAATTGGAGTTGAGTGAAAATGATTAGAAAAGACAAATACATACTTTACTTGACCTTGAAACCCCAGGCTTTCAGAGTGAACTTCATATAGCATCACCTTAGAACAGCCTATGATACCCCAGAGGATGAGAAGCAAAGGAAAACTGACCTAGAGGCGATGACAATCTCGGTCGGGTACTGGGCCTTCAGGATTTTGTTCAATTCATTGTTTGCAGCCTCTAAGTGCTGGATAGCAGCAGCCTAGGGGTAGACAGAGGGGTCAGATTCAGAAGCCGAGCTCTGTGACTTACCATACTGCATCTCTTCACAACCCCGCCCCCAACATCTTCACAAGAAACTCAACTGCCTTTCTGGAAATAAATTATTTTGAGTCTCAAATCATTCTAAAAATGAGAGACGCTCTCTGTGAAATGTCATATTCTACAGATAGTAAATAATAGATCTGTAATCTGATTTATAACTTTCCAGAAGTTTACTTTTTCAAGGTTACTAAGAATACAATATGTAACTGATTGTGTTCTAAGTTATATGTACTTATCATTTTTATGTATTCTCAATATCTATCCTGAGAGGTAAAGAATGCTTTTATGCTCATTTCATAGAAGAGAAAACTGAGGCATGGGAAAGGAATCAATCAGTAACATATTTAGATTTGATTGCAGGTAGACTGACTCTTGAGTCTGTATTCTTAATTATAAGTTTTAATCCTTCCTATCACTGAGCATCTACCAAGTCCATACACTTATATGTTTTCAGTATCTTTCAAGTTTGTCCAATTCTCCCCACTTCTGTTACTGAGTCACAAACCTAAATCAGCATCATCTCTAGTCTGAATAACGTCAGCACCTCCCAGTTTTTCTCCTTGCCTCTGATCTTTAATCATTGTGTTGCCTCCTCACACACCCTGGGCTACAGCTCAGTGACGGGTAGTTGGTTGACTATGTGACAGAGGAAGCTTAATGAGATGTTAGTGGTGGGCATTTCCATTTCAACTTCCTCATGTGTTTGGAAGTTTCTATATTAAGTAAGGGGGGAAAAGATGGCTGGGAGATGGCTCAGTTGATAGAGCACTTGCACCGAAAGAATAAAGACCTGAGTTCGAATCCCCAGAACCCACATTAAAAAAAGCCCAGCATAGTAATCCCAGTGATATGCAATGAGATAGGAGGCAGAGACAGGCAGAGCCCCAGAATCTTGTCAGCTAGCTGGCCTTCCTACGCTGTGATGTTCCAGGCCAATGAGAGACTCTGTCTAATAAAAAGATGGAAGGTGCCAAGGACTCCAAACCAGAATTCATCCTCTGATCTCTGACCACAACTATATGCTGTGCACATGGACATCTCCCCCCCCCCCCACGTAAACACATTCCCCCAAACTCTTCTAGAATTCTCATTGCTCTTAGGATTAAAATCCAAATTTTCTACTGTGCTTTATTAATTAGCCTTTTCTGGGTTGATTATTTCTCTAGTCTCTCATTTTGTATGTTCCATCCTTGACCAACATGCCCTGGACATTATGAACATGTTTCAGTTCTGTTAATATTATACAGCCTTTATTGTTTTTGGAACAGCATAAAAACAGGTCTTGTGATGGTTTGAAGAAGAATGGCTGCCATAGGGTCATATATTTAAATGATTAAGGAGTAGCACTGTTTGAAAGAATTAGGGGGTGTGGCCTTGTTGGGGGAAGTATGAGGTTTCAGATGCACAAGCCATGCCCACTGTCTTTTCCTGCTGCCTGAGCATCAACATGTAGAACTCTCAGCTCCTTCTCCAGCTCCATGTCTGTCTGTGTGTCACCATGACAATAATTAGCTAAACGTCTAAAACTGTAAGTCAGTCCCAATTAAATGCTATCTTTTATAAGAGTTGCTGTGGTCATGGCATCTCTTTAGCAACAGAACAAAGACTAAGACCAGTCTCCTTTGTCATTTTTTCCTGATTATTGTTATTTCTTGGGTCTAAGTTGAAATGGTACTCATTCTAGATGTTTTCCATGACACCTCACAGAGGGACATACAGACATACATGTAGCACTTTATTAAAATTTTACCTTTTCTACCTTTAAATAGACTCAAGCTCTGCACAACAAGGGCTATATTACTTTTCTCTATCTACTAACGTGTAAGAACATTTCCTAATACAGTACCTCATATACAGTAGCTATTCCACAAACAATTTTGAATTAATGAATGAGTAACTAGAGTGACTCATATCCCTAATGCCAAATGTATTTGCAGTGAATAGCTGCTGACTGATTTCTCCTGTCCTTAGAGATGTCAGCCTCATGGAGTCTATAGACGTACTTCATATTCTTTCTAGGCTTTTCTTCATATTTCACTTGTGATAAAGTGATTGCTCTGAATTATAGCTGACCAATAATCACCTCAAATCTTGGTATATCCATTTTCACCTGTCCTTTTAGCGGTGGGAATTGTTTGGGGTTCTCACGGATCATCACGCTCCATCTAAAATGAAGTTTAAACACAAATGTTACTTAGGTCTCTGCTAATTACAAATGAAATCACAGTTCAAGAAAGAAGTCAAAGCATTCATGTGCTTGGGGAAGTGGCCTGCAGGGTGAACTCAAGCAGTGTACATAACCTCAAAGCATATTTAAGAGGGGATTCTGCTTCACAACATCCCTAGGTGAGTCTGATGGAAGGAATTTTTCTCAGAACTCTCAGAAATCAGTGTTTGTCAACCAGAGGTAGCATCATGAGCTCAAGAAATACTTTTACGAAGTGTTTATGCTAGATCCTTGCCCAAGAACTAAGGAATGAAAATCCTTGTAATTGCCCCAGATTTGTATCTTGAAAACCCACACCTCACTATAAAAGTCCTATTTATCAGATTATAGGATGATGATATTCCCTATTCTTTGGAGCAGAGAAAATATAAGCCAACTGGCACTGAATCTCCTCCCCTGCTCCCCTTTTAAGGTTTCTCTGAGGACTTGCTAATACTGTAGATTCTTTCTCAAGCGTCCGAATGCTTCCATTGGACAAGTGACTACGCATTTTGAAGGACACTCAGCAAACCCCTGAAACATGTCCACGAAGCCCCTGCTCTGTGATCTTTCGGGGGGAAGAGGCGCTTCTACAATATTGCAGGGCTACATGGCTCTCTGGTTTCTCAAAGGACAAGACCTTCCAAGTGAGCCCGCCCTTCCATCACAAGGGAGCTGGGTTCTGGACTAAGATGATATAAATAGAAGAGACACAAGGACATGGCCTTTTAGTCACTCACCTGTCTAAAATTCTCACGTTAGCCTGCTCTACTCTGTTGAGAATATCCAGTGGTGACTTGTTTTTACTCCAGACTGATCCCCAGCCAAGGACACGAGCGAGATCGTTACCAGTTCCAAGCGGGATGACTGCCAGCTGACACTGTAAGAAAAATAGAGACGCTCTTTCAGATAGTCCTTCCACCATGTTCCACTGGCTGAAAGACTTTGAGGGTGCTCTTTGGGACGGAATGGGCAGGAATAGGCCTTACAGCCAGGGGTTTTTAAAGAATTGCTTTATAGCAAGAGTAACAAGAGGGTATTTGGAGTTGAATGATATTTTCTCAAAGGAATTGGACCCCATTCTAATAATGGGGTGAGCATGTTTAGATTGGTCAAGTTAACCATTAAGCTTGTAAAAGACATGTTTATAGATAGGATGAGTGCAGACTAGGGACTTCTTGGATTAGACAGCTCCCCACTCCCACTCTTTCTAGCAATGGGTAAAGGGACTCAGCCAGGCACTCACCCTATCATGCACTTCAAAGGCATCAATCGTGGATAAGACCCAGCTCACGCTGCCATCTCCACCACAAACCAGAACGCGAAAACGAGAAAAGTTCTTAAACATACAGATCCTGCAAGGAAGAAGGGGAAAGGGCAATCATTTCATGATGAATTGGAATTTCTGTTTCTCCCAGACTGTCAGGACCTAAGAATGCCTGCTTTAGCACCCTGCTAATGGACCACTCTGCCTTCTCTTTACTTTAGCCTCGCACTCTTTGTTTATTTGGGACCACAGCTTCACAAGGCAATCTCAGAAATCAGATCTTGCCTCGACTCATCTTATTTTGTGCTTAGCCTTTCTCTGGAAACCACTAATAATCTAGTCGTCTGCTGAGTCTCAAGAAGAATACTTTGCTTGGCTGTTAGTGGCTCCCAGAAACCAGCACTGAATTGGCAAAAGATCCCATAGTAAAATAAGTCTGTAGTGAAATCCCTTTTCTTCATCCTCTGATGTCAGAGGGCATAGTTTTCTGTCTTGCCAATCAGAAAAAGTGAAGCAAGTTTGGGAGCAGGAAAAGAGACTGAAGTGATTTCTGGGAGAGAGCCAAAGGGTAAAATATTCCAGAGTCATGTATTTGTGTATCTGCTGGGATACAAGGACTAATCCCAGAAAGCTATTCTAGCCTAGACTGTTCCGTATACCCAACCATACCTCTTTAGCCCATACTTACCCTGCTTCAGGTCCGCCCTTCGACAGGTCAAATACTTGAGATGGATTAAGATACTGCTTGAATTTTCGGAGGAAGATGATCCCTTGATGATCTCCACTTTTGGAATTGATGAAGATGAGCAAGGGACAGGAACAAGTCAATGGCCAATCAAGACTCCAGAAGTCAGACGATACCACTAATTGGCCTGATAGACACACAAAAGAAAAAGAAAAAGTGCAATTGAGACGAGATAAGAAATAAGATACGATCTACATCACATTTTAAAGAGACTTTTTGGTATCATACTCAATCTCTTGCTATAGAGGAGCAGAGGGAAAGTGAGGGTATTATTACGAGGAGAGTAATGTGTTTGTTCTACTATTTCTAGGCATCCATCTATCATTTTCTGAGAAATTATTATATACCAGATATCATATTAGATATCGTTAGGGATATAGCCCCTTGACCTCAAGCCAGGATATGCTGGAAGACAATTAATGAAGAAATTGCTATAACAGCCAGATTATCAAAACTCTGTGAAGAAAATTCAAAAAAGGTTGAGAGCCCAAGAGGAGGAGCATCCCTCAAGCTAGTCCACTCTGTCTGGTCCAGTTTAGATCTCATGGTGAGAACTGAACAGACCAGGAGAAAAGGGAAAGAAAGGCTGTCATTAAGCCATGAGCTAACAACAGAGTTCCTAGCACAATGATGCATCAATATAAGGTAAAGCCAGAAACTTTAATCGCATCTCTAAGGCTAAGAAAGAGCAATTTATACTATCACACCAATTCCAATGCAGAGTGAGCCTACAGATAAATTTCATGAGGAAGAGAGGGGCGTTTAATAATCTCCAACACTGAAGTTATCCATAGAGAAGTAGGATTATAATAGCCAAATAGCAGTCTAAATAGTCAAATCCTGCCAGCTTGTGGTGAGTGTTAAAGCCTATTGGCAAAGAGATAGGCAGTGATGGTCTTCTAAGAAAGAGTATTATCAACAAATACCAGGCCCTCAAACATCTGCGCTCATGGCCTGTCAGGAATGCTCCAGAAAAAATTAACATATAGGGCAAAAATCATGTTGCTCACTCTTATGTAAGATAGGTAGATATGCTGAACTTTAAAAAAATGTATGCCTGGCAAAATCAAAGGCAGCTTCCTATAAAGTCCCAGAAGGACTGCCTCCCACTAATTGACTGGTGGGTTTTGAAGGCATTCTAAGCAGTTCTGCACCACATTTTCAACTTGTAACTACAAGGGAAATTGACTATCTTTCCTTAGCAGTATAACTTGGATGTAATTATCTTCCATGAACAAATGAAATACCATTATTAACAATTTTTAATGAAAGGTAAAATGGTATCATAATGGTAGTTTTTCACATTCATGCATGCAGGCATTCATTCACTTGTGCATTTATTCACTCATTCAACAAATATGTATGAGGATGTTCTCTGTGTCAATTCTTCTTTATGTTGGTGGACAAAATACAATTCTTATTTTAATGAAGGTAAAGTTAAAGCCCCCATCTCTCTGATTCCTGGTCTGCACTGATGTGCACAAGCTCATATGTTGGTGCCACCATGGAGTCACTTGCTGCCACACTTTTCCCACTGTGATGAACTAGACTGTGTTTTTTTCAAACTGTGAAATACATCCTTCTTATTTTAAGTTGCCTCTTGCGAAGCATATGTTCAGAGCAATGAGAAAAGTAATTAATTCACTAACTGAGGAGAGGGATATAGGAAATTGAAATCAGAGAGATGATAGTTACAAGATTTTCCTATAAAGAATTTACATAATTTTAAAAGGAAACTATTGGCCTATGTAAATATATTTTCCAGTCAAGAATTAAGAAATAGGAAAATGAAAATTATGTTAATGGTACTTACAAGTTAAATAACCATGAGAGCAGAATGGAAATGATTGTTCTAGAATCGTCTTGCAACTTTGGGCAAAGTATACTATACTATACCTTGTAGTATATTTCTATACGAGAGACAGGTAGCTGTATGCTACACTTGGTTGCTCTCCCAGTTTATTCATTAAACTACAGGGACATCTTAAGTTCTCTAAGGGTGCATCTTCTCATATGAATAATAACAGCGTGTTGCAAAGATGAATAAAACAGCCAGCATCGTGAGCTGGGCTGCAGAAATGGTAGATTCATACTCAGGTAGCCAGGCTGACTCCCAAGGTTGCTCTGAAGAGGCTGATGTCCTGTACTGTTTCACAAGTTAATTCTGTAGTTCAGATGAGCGCACAGAAAGCTGACCTGTGAAGTATGTACCCCAGGGTTGAGAAAGAGCTGCAGGCTGATGGAAATCAAGAGCAGAAAATGATCTCACCAGCCACATGAGTCAGAGTAAACAGATCGGGAAGTGTGCACCTTTGTCTTCATGCTCAGCCTCAAGGCCATAAATTATGCTGGGATAGAACAATGGAGACTTGGCTTGGCAGATTCAAGTGGGAAAGAGCACAGGGGCTTTAGGATATGAGTCAACACCCTGATGAGCCTCTTAAGAAGAGCTCATGCTTCTGTTGAGCTGCACCAACCCAGTCACCTAAGCCAGGGGACCACTAGTTTCACTGCCCTTCACTGTCTTCGCTCCACAGAAGGATGCTAAATTGGCGAAAGTCCTGCTTCCTGTTGCCCTTCCTATACTATTAAAAGTAATCTTTAATGATGTTTAAATAAATTGAACTTTTGTAATGGATCTGAGTATTTCTACATGTGTAGAAAGAAATGACAAATGACACCATGAGCTAGGCCCACTCTTCCAGGCTGAAGAAGTTTATGGAGAATGAGTTCTCGACACTACGTGGTAGCAAACATGTCCAGGAGATACTGTGAGGATTTTCTGTCTTTATGAATGCTGTGATATGACCACTGAGTTTGTGGACATGGCAGCTGGTGGACAGCAGAATAGTAGCAGAATGGTGGTCACACGATAAAATAGTGTCATGGCAGAAGCTTCGTTAGGGCCTGCTTTACTAGGCCATCAAAACTAAGTGATGTACATTTCTGTATTACATGTTTTGCTAAATAAACTTTAGTAATAGTGGAAAATTGAGAAATGGAAACACGTTAAGTAACTTGTCTAAGATCACACAGTAAATGATGGAGCGTGTCCATAGGACTAGCAGTACAGAAAGCATTAGGGAACTTTTCAGAAATGCAAATTATTGGGCCTCACCCAGGTGTGCTGAGTCAAAACCTCTGAGGGTGTGGCCCAAAAAGCTGTGTTTTAATAAACCCTTCCTGATGCGTCTGATGCATGCTTATGTTTAATAACTACTGTGTGAGTTCCTACTTTACTGGTTGGGAAGTAATTAACTTGGGGAAGTGGGAAGAGAGCATTTGAGAAGTAATAGAAGATAATACTTGATTTGAGCTATACCTTAAAGGAATTTACTAAAGACTAAGTAGAGAAAAGTGGGTAATTGAAGGTCCTGACAATTGATCGGAGCCCCTGGATGGAATCAAGGAATGCAGGAATGAATGAGCAGCAGCCCTGTCAAAGGTCACCTCAGAAGGTCACCATTTGCTTGCTGGAGAAAGGCTTTCTAGCTTGCCTGAGAGGCTGGAGTGGAATAACCGCAATACCACCATTAAGATTCTGTGACTGAGAAACACAGAAGAAGATTCCCCTCGAATGGAACATCTCATAGGGAATCCTACTCCTCGAGGGCTTATTTGTTGAGGCTAAGAAGCCCAGGAAGAGTCGAGAAGAAAGGGAGTTTTTCAAAGCCCTTTTTGAGAAGTCCAGGTTACGTAATGCATGGTAGAAAAAAAAGGGTTGTCAGTGTGATATCCAAGTGGACCAAGATTGCTGCAACATGGAAGCCAAAATGAAAAGATGCTTCATTGCACATGAGATGACACAAAACATCATCTCATTAGTTAGTATGACAACTAACTAACTAACATTACTAACATACTAACATTAGTTAGTATGTTAGTAGACAAGTTACTAACAGCCTAGTCTGGGCACTTCTATGTAAGGGAAAGCAATGCCATTAGCTGGTGAACCATAACAAGAATCAGACGTGCTGCAGGACGAAAATAACCTCACAGTTGATATAAACAATGAACTTCGACAAGGACAGAAACCTCAGAACATGCTTGACTTGGGCACAAATAGTTACCATCCCCATTAATATACAGTTGGGATGATCTTGTGGGATGCTAAACTATCTCCAGATAATAGTGAAGGAAACAGGAGCACAAAACCTAAGGTTGTAGCCTGAATTCCATGCTCAGAGAAACTTCCTCTTGCAGCAGATGGAAACAAGTACAGGGACTCTCAGCGAGATATTATGGAGAGAGAGAGAGAGAGAGAGAGAGAGAGAGAGAGAGAGAGAGAGAGAGAGATCTTGAACACACAGTTCCAAATGAGAGTTCTCCATCAAATCCCTCCCATCAGGACTTAGAGAACCCCATAGAAGAGGAGGCAAAAAGAATTTAAGAGCCAGAAGGGATGGAGGACACCAGGAGAACAAGGCCCTCTAAATCAACACGAGCAAAGCTCAAATGAACTCACAGAGACTGAAGCAGCAAGCACAGGCCCGACACGTGTATAGGTCCTTTGTGTATATATTATAGCTGCCAGTTTAGTATTTTTATGAAAGTCTTGAGTGTGTGCACGAGTAGGTCTCTTCCTTCTGCCTTCTTTTGGGACTCTTTTCCTTCTCTTGGTTTGCCTTGTTCAAACTCAATGTAATTTTTCTATTTTATCTTATCCTATTTTATTTTGCTATGTTTTATTGTTATCTCTTAGAGACAGAAAAGGAGTGGATGTGGATAGCAGGGGAGGCGAGGAGGAACTGGGAGGAGTGGAGAGAGGGGAAACTGTAATCAGGATTGTATAAAAAATAATCTATTTTCAGTAAAAGGGGAGAAATAAATGAATGGTAATGATGCAAGAAAAAAGTAGATTGACTTTTTATGAGTCGCCTGAATTTGTTCAGGTAATTAATGTATCAATTCTTCATGTATCAATTCCATTTTCCCTAAACCTCTTTGTTCTTTTTTTCTAGTCAACCATCTCTCATTGATAAAGTTCTTCTCCTCTTTATTCAGTTGTCGAGTAGGTGATGTTATGAAGATAAATATTTGAATAGATCTGAGAATAATATATTTATGCATCTCTGAATGAATTAGCTTTTGTTTCTTTATATGGTACTATGAGGCACATGCTTACACTTGCTTCAGAAACTTCTGGAAATTGCTCATTCAATAGCCTGATGCTTGTCTACACCCATATTTTTTGTCAACATTTCTGACACTTACCTGATATCCAAGTGTCTCTATCATTGCTTTGTTACTTAAAATATGCACCATCCAATTGTTAGTTGTTGTGTTATACCAAAACCTTGAATTCATCATGATTACTTATTGTATAATGTCTAATTTAGAACTCAAGAACCTTGTGAAAATAACTTTCAATAAATTCTTATTGACCAGAAAGTGACAAAATATCAGTGAAGAGTGCTGGGGCAATAACCATGCTAGTCTCATATTTGGCAACAATTCTGATGTTAGTTCCCATTTTAAACATAATATAACCTAGGTTTTCCATGGGTTTTGAACCACTGGATCAAAAATCTATGAGATTTATTTTCTAGAATAGGTAGTATTTCAGAATCTTTTCAAAAAGTTAATAAAGCTGAAATTAATTTTGAACAATCAGAAAGAATTTTGACAGTCTACAGAGAACATGCCCATACACAATACACATACACCAGAGCACTACACTCATCACTAAAACGTTTGAAGGCTTAACGGTTAGCTTTTGGATGCACACATACAAATTCGCATTTTCCCCCAGATAATTTACTAGTTGTGGAGAATAATTCATGCCCCCCTCCCCAGCCTTTATACCTTCCCTCCCTCCCCAGTGTGTTTCTGAAGTAATGGTCAACCTACTCACCATCGCCTCGAGGGTCGCTCAGCGCCGTAGGCGGTACGATCGATGAGCGACGACTTCCAAAGGAACATTCCTTGGAAAACCGCCTCTGGCAGGCGCTGTGCACCTGAAACGATAAGAGCACAAGAGAAAAAGGAAGGGGAGAGAGAAGAAGAAAAGATTGATTAGTCTTCAGTTCCATCCCAAGATTGGGCCTTTCTATTTCAAGTCTCCTTTTCTGACACTGGTACTATCTACATAAGCCTTAACTCACCTAACACCACCCCACCCCATTCTGCTGTGAAGCTGCAATATCCCTGAAGGTGTAGTCCTCTGGCCCTCTCGAAGGTGTCTTTCTGAAGATTCCCAACTACAGGTACTGCACTGTCACCAGCCTTAGGACATAATCATGGTAGCCTGCAGAATGGGAAATTTCATTGTATTTCAAAAGTCCTAATCCTGATAGGATTTTTATATTTCAATCTTTAGAACAACTTTATGTGGTGGGAAAAGCATCACTGAGCTCATTTTAGGCACGAGCATGTGCGAAAGCCCAAAGAGGTCAAGGGTCTTACTCAAGGTCAAATAGCTGGAAAGTGTCAAAGCAGACTTCCCGGCAAGCTGCCATTCTTCCTAGATTTCAAACCTCTTCAAGCTCCACATTCTAAACAACTGCACTTTCTAGGGACATGAGCCTGGCATGGCTATTCAAAGTGAATTAAAAAGAGGCCAGTGGACATAATATTCAGGGAAGAAGCTCACTTCAGTTTCTTTTCATCTTAGAAAATTCAGTTTGAGAGAAACATCTAACCTTAGAAAGTCAAGATCAGAATCTCTCAATCTCTGTAATATTGATTTTTTTTTCTGGCTTAGATAGTTCCTTGTTATAGGATACTATCCTGTGCATTATAAGTTTTGAAGAATCTGCAAGATACAAATTGTATCCTTCCTATACAGTCCAGTTTGGGCCATCAAAAATGTCTCTGGATATTGCAAAATGTCTACTGGAGCAAAAATTATACTCAGTTGAGGTCTAGTGCTTCCAAGACTTGGTATTATTATAGTTAGGACTATGGTCTTATTAGAATTATTTATTAATCAAGACTTTATTTTTGCTGGCAATATGACCTTGGGTCTACCTTTCTGAACCCCCACATTACTCATCTGTAAAATGGGCACAATGAGGCTTATTTCAATGTTGTTCTAATGATTGAGATCATGAATAGAAGATATTTATTACACAGTGGCAATGATAATTTTTTAGTCATTGTTATTAACCATTAATAAAGATTATAAGTTTCTAGGAAGTAATGAATGAGGGAGGAATCCTTTCTTAAGGATAGACTCCAGAATTTATTTCTAATTGTTCATATTGCCATTTGAGAATTCAGCTTTTCTCATTGCCAGGATGGCTTTGTCAATTAATAAGCATCAGATTATGAACACTTTAAATCTTTCTCTCAAAGACTCCCCCGTCATTTACAAAAGGCAAGTTACTGGGCTCTGTACTATAGAATTTATAGAATGCATTTTGTTGTAAGGGTCTCTGAGCTACCTATCTATTTACTTATTTATCCCTGTATAGTTCCAGACAATCCCCAATCTACCTCTTCTCTAAGAATAAGCTTCAAGTATCAAAGCTATGAAAAGAGACTCACCGTAGATTCACACCAGAGGCAGCGGAAGTCTTGAAGCCTGTGATGACTACCACAGCTCTCGTGACATACTGCACAACGAGAGTCGGCAGGTATGCTTCCTTCTACCCACTGATGGGGCATTGTTTGCTAAAGTGGAAAAAGGCAAAAGACAGAAATTAGTGATAAAAGAAGGAAGACTGGGCTAATTATTCTACTCTCGGAGAACATGAGCTAAGAGTCTCATGAACCTGCCCTCAACGCTACTGACTAATGAAAGGTGGCAGTTGGGGTTTAACTCAATGATATTCATTGGGTCATTGGATCCTATGGAAGAGGAAGAGACTGCTTTGCTGGTCTAGTGACAGGAAGAATTCTTCCTTTCCCTGTGTGTCATGACTTTAAATGAGTCAGAGAAGGTGTCTGTGGAGGATATGGCTGGTACTTACTATTTCATCAGCAGGTAGAAGGAGGTCATCGGTTACGGACAAAGTATTCCACTTGCAGTCTTTGCTCGCTCTCAATGCACATAATTTGTGTGATTTCACCTTGCAGACTGTGAAAGGAGGAAAAGAAAATAGGTGTGAGTCTAGTGACAATGAGAACTCTAATTCCCTTCCTTAAGCTTCTCTGGAGGTTAGAATCCAAGAGCTTTCTATATAGTTTTGACCTACTTCCAAAGACCTACTTCTATGTGAACCAGTTCCTTTGGATTCTTTGCTAGCTAAGCGTCCTGTTACCCATTTTACATTAAAATAGTAGGAAAGAACGGATTTCTGACTTTTCAATCCTTCTGACCATATAGTTCCATCTTCTTATAGCCAACCCTCCGTTTTTACTCATGAGAACATCCCTTCCTGCATGTTTCCTTTTCCCTCCCGCGGGATTAACTTCACACAAAGACTTAGACTGGATCTGCAATACTAACGCAGTAGGAGACCCTTCGTGCCTAGCTCTACCCTGTGAGCTCTGCTTTTTAAAGGAAGAGAAAGATACCTTCACAGATGATGGCATCTCGAGATAAGGCAGGAATGCTCTCGCGACAAACATTGCAGAACTGTGTCCGAGGACTATGGCTGGAATACCAGTAGTGCATTCCGATAAGGTAAGGATTGTTTTCGGCTGCAGGTATCTAAAACAGATCAAAGAGAAGAAAAAAATGGAGGTTAACCACAGAGGTGGACTCAGGAAGACCACAAATTCCTCTGCTAGGGCTAATATAGCCCTAGTGTAGGTGACAAAGCATGTGAAGGAGAGGGCCAGTAGGTACAGTTCCCACTTTTTGTTTTAATTTCTTTTGGTTGCTGGCTTCAGAAGGGAAAAAGAAATAGATGGGAATGATTTCAAATAGGAGCTGAAGACAGAAGCAAGGGTCTTTCTTTACCTTGCTCAGCCACTATATTAGTTTAGTCCAAGCAAAATTTGTTGATTGGTCTTGGCTCTCTTTAAATAGAAAGCAAAAGAAAGGGGTGGGCTGGAAATTGAGGGCTATCCAAATGCTCAGACAAAGAACGGCAGGTGCAAGGCTCATACACAGAACTCGGCAATACCTGCAAGGCTTTCGCTTTCTTAATACAGCTGCCAAGTGAGCAGAACATTACTCTACTTGGACAACACTTAAAAGACCTTTAAATCCTCTTTGCATGAGCTTTTTCCTCTTTTGAAATCCATGCTTTGACTGCCTACAGCAGTTTCTTGGTTAATCATTTTAATTCATCCAATAAGTTATTAAACAAATACTTACTGAATCACTATTACATGCTTGCAATTTTTCAAAGCATTTGAGATATAATCATTAACAAGACACAGTCCTTATCCTTATGGTGACATTCTGCTTACTGTCTTCTTTCATACTATTCCTTTTAACCTTTTTGTTATCATGCCTGTGAACACAGCATCTGCATATCACAGCCTGACATTCACCACTACAGGAAAGGCACAGCCTCGCCATGTGACAGCAATGGTTTGAGTTGCATGGATGTACAGGCACTGAAACCCCCTGACTTTGTTCTGTGTTTATTTTCACAGGACTTCCCTCTCTTTTTTCTAGTTCCCATGAATATATCCATTTCTACACTGCCTTTTTTTTTTAAAAAAAATAGAGTTTAGACATAGACTCACGAGAGTTTTTTTTATTTTTGTCATTATAATGGGTTGTGCGTAAAAGACATGGTAAGATTTTGAAAGAACAATACATTCTCTCAGATGTAAGCTGACAATAGTCCCTTAAAAGGGTTGCTGTTGAGGGCTCCAACTTAAGTTTGCACTTAGTCCATTTATTGGAATTAGCCATCCAAGACATAGCCTGCACATAATGCTTTCTGATCTCTATTCCCCACGGGTATGCTGGCTATGTGGGAAACTACTGTCGGACTGAAGCGGACTTTTTTTGGTAGATAAAGCTACTCTGATGAGCTAATTTTTGGAATTGCTTTGCGATGGGAAGTTTGTCATATAGTGACACCTGAAAAGCCCTAGGTCTAGAAACACCAGACTGGAAGGCACCGAGTCTTGACACTGGCACTCTGAGCTCACAGTTCCTTTCTACTCCTAAGGCTGCTGTCTAAAACTAAACAAGCCCCTCTCCTCCTCTCATTTTCCTTCTCTTCCCTCCAAATTACCAGGAACCTATGACCATATGCTGTGTAACACAATAAGCGCTGGAGCTACAGAGATCAGTAAGTCACATAGATCAAGGAACTCACTCTACTGGAGGAAACTAATTCTCAAACAGATAGTCATAACATGGTGACAATACATTTTTAAAGACTGTACAAGGCTCTACAGGAGCAAGCAGGAGAAATGAAGAACTCTTGATTATGTATTAACTATAATGGAATTCATATTTAATGGACATTGCCTGGGTTCAGTTGTTAAGGAAGTGGGATTTATATCTCTCATGTTTATCTTATTCTGGGAGAAAAGTTTGATGCAACCAGTCCTGGATGAGTATGTGTGGTAGTTTGAATTGTATGTCCTCCAAAATACGTTCAAGTCCTAACCTTTGGTACCTGAGAATATGACTTGATTGGGAAACACTATCCTAACAGATGTAACCAAGTGGGACTTAATTCAAGGACTGGTGTCTTCCTAAGAATAAGAAAGTATGAAAAGAGATGCAGTCAGAGAGAACACCTTGTGATGATATAGAGTACACAGACACACAGGAGAGAACATCACGTGACCGTGGGTGCAGAGAGTCAGCCAAGAAATATTAAGGTTTGTCTGTAATCACCAGACTGTAGGAAGAGACAAAGAAGGATCCTCTTTCTAGAACCTTCAAAGAGACTCGGACCCTTTCACAAACTCAAATCCAGATCTCTACCTGCTAGAAATATGAGGGCATAACTGCTGTTCAGCACACCCAGTTTTTGTTTGTTCCAGCAATCCTGGAAAAGGAATGAAGATTTTCAAATTGAGATGCAGATGTTTCTGCATCAGGCACTAGAAATAGGAAACTGCTGTGACCTTTGTCTAGTATATCAATACTATGAATTTTGAGACAGATGATCTTGAGAAGACTACGCTGCCTTGAGTAGAGTGCTATTAGGAATATGAACTGCTTCTGGTACAGTCTCCGATGCAGGAGAGTGGCAGAAAGGCAATATTTTTTAGAGTGGAAGAGAACCATGTCATTGCCCTGTTAGATGAAAGCCGAGTGTTGAAATGATGAACTTGAACCTTTGGCTGTCAAAACTTTCAAGCAAAGTATGAAGGTACAGTCTGTTTTCTTTCTGCTGCTTATAGAAAATGAAACAGGAAAGAGATATGTTGCTGTGGAAACCGTTCTTAGTCTATTTGGCTTTCCATATACAGAGTGGGTGGCTTAAACAATGGAAAGATATCTTCTCACTGCTTGGAGATGGGGAAGCTCAAAAGCAAACAGTCAACCAATATATTTCCCAAGGCCGTCCTTCATGGCATGGATGTGGTCACTTTCTCTATCTGCTTGCATGACTTTTACTTAAAACAGGCATATGAAGAAAGAAAGTGATTTTTTTTTTCTCATGAGGCCATCAGCCCTACTGGATTTAGTATCCGTGTTTATGGCTCCATTTGACATTAATCACATCCTTCAAGTCTTATTTCTAAGCACAGTCACATTTAGAGCTAAGCTTCAACATATGAGTTTGGGGTAGGGTTACAGTTCAACTCATAAAAGATTTACTAAGTAAAAAGTGGGCAGACCTTGAAGATTTGGCAACTTCTCAACCTATTTATATTTCAAGCACAAAATAGTCACTCTGGTGTCAACATCCATGATATGGGTAGACAAAGCTTTTCTGGGAAAATTCAGTATGGGACACTAGGTTTAAATCAGTGATCTCAGCAGAATACCGTTGCCATAGACTGAGAAGCTCAAGACACAAGAGTCGATGAAAGGTTATGTGACTACTGAGACTCTACAGCAGCCAAGTGCTGAAGAAAGCTATCCTGCTGTGGGTTTGCATTGTTCCTTCAGGAAAACAGAATAATGGGTTCCATTGATGACTTGGAGGCCAGCAATGCTGGTGAGAGACTCCAGTTTGTTATTTTGGCCAACATAGGAGTATGGGCCTATTGGAGGAAGTCATTGCCTCTTTCGTTCCAGAGGGTGGGGTTGTCTCCTAGATTCCAGAAGGTGAGGTTGCTTTTTTTTTTCAGAGAGAAGATGCCACTCAGGTGGGCTGAAAAAGTGAAGCCAGGCGACAACGCTGCGCCACAGAAAATTAGCTGTAGGCCTGTAAGCCTAATGGAACTCGCCTTTCTGGGTCGCCAGCTTTCTTTAGATAAGCAGCCCTTTCAGTTCTTCTATTTTACCATTTCAGAATGGGAATGTCTATCTTCCACTACTTCCACTACGGAATTTTAGAAGCAGATAAATTGTTTTAGAGGTGTCACATGCCCACAGGTAGAGGAGAAATATTGCCCCCAGAAGGAACATACACAGAGTACAGAAAGGAACATGCAAGAAGTCTTTCTGGTACCTCACTGGTATTCTTAGAAAAGAGAAAATTTTGAGTACAGACACAGAGAGAACAACTTGGGAAGATACAAAAAAAAGAAAAATAGACACACAGGAAAGCCCAATGCAATGGCCCAGGCAGAGACTGGAATAGTACGTGGCAAGTCCAAAAACACCAAGGATATCCTGTAACCACCAAAACCTAGGAAGGGGCAAAGGATTCCTCCCGAAGGCCGTCACAGAGACATGGCTGTACTCACACTCTGATTTCGGACTTCGGGCCTCCAAGATAAGAGAAGACATTTTTGTTTTTGTGTTTTACATTTCTCCAATGTAAGAGAATACATTTCTATTTTTTTGTTTTTACTTAAAGCAGGATTTCATGTCCTCAAATTTAGTAGTTAGCTGAGGATGACCTTGAACTTCTCTTAAGTGATAAGAACATAGGGATTTATAAATTACACCCAGTTTGTAAATTTGTGTCCTTTAAGTCCCAAAGTTTTTTTGGTAATTTGTTATAGCAGCCATGAACTGGCATAGTATGTCACTACAGGCATTTCTATTTGCTGATATGGATTTTTAAAAATCAAATTTGACAGTAACTGATGGAAGCAGATACAGAGATCCACAGCTAAGCACTGGACAGAGCTCCTGGAGTCCAGTCGAAGAGAGGGAGGAGCGATAATATGAGCAAAGGGGTCAAGACCATGATGGGGACACCCACAGAAACAGTTGACCCGAGCTTGTGGGAGCTCACTGAGTCTAGACTGTCAGCTGGGGAAGCTGTACAGGAGACTGAACTAGGCCCTCTGAATGTGGGTGACAGTTGTGTGGCTTGGGCAATTTGTGGGACCACTGGCAGTGGAACCAATATTTATCTCTATGGCATGAAATGGCTCTTTGGAGCCCATTCCCTATGAAAGGATACCTTGCTTAGTCTAGATACGGGGGCAGGGAGGTGCGTGGGGGCGTGCGGGGAGTGGGGGCTTGGTCCTGCCTCAAGTGATGTGACAGACTTTGTTGACTCCCCATGGGAGGCCTCACCCTCTCTGAGGAGTAGATAGGGGTTGGGGTGGGGAGAAGGTGGGGGAAGCAGGAGGATGGGAGGGAGAGTGGACTGGGGTTGATATGTAAAATAAAAAAGACTGTTTTCTTTTTAAAAAAGAATACATAAATAAATCAAATTT